TAGAGATGAGCGAATCGAAGTAGGCGAAGTGGAATTCGTTTCGAATATTGTAAAATTTTCGATTTGCGCCGAATCCGAAAATTATCATACTTCGGATGCGCGAATCAAAATTTTTCCTAAAATGGCGGCGACATGTGCGGCGATGGAGCGGGGATGTCTGGGAAGGCGCGCAGACAAGGCGCGCTGACCCATAATGCATTCATTAATGACATGTGATCGCATTAGCCAATCAGCAGCCAGCCAGCCAGCACTGTGTAATGGTCGAGCTATAAATGGCGGCCATTTTAGAATTCTCCATTTGCCTCCAGTCATTCAAGAGAGGCAGACCACTCTGTATTAGGGACAGAGTTAGGGCCACAGAAACGTTACTTAAGGACAGAGAAACGTTACTTAGGGACAGATAAACGTTACTTAGGGACAGAGAAACATTACTCAGGGACACAGAATCGTTACTTAGGGCCACAGAAACGTTAGTTAGGGCCACAGAATTGTTACTCAGGGACAGACACAGAATTGTTACTGAGGGCCACAGAAACGGTACTTAGGGCCACAGAAACGTTACTCAGGGCCACAGAATTGTTACTGAGGGCCACAGAAACGTTACTCAGGGACACAGAATTGTTACTGAGGGCCACAGAACTGTTACTTAGGGCCACAGAAACGTTAGTTAGGGCCACAGAATTGTTACTCAGGGACAGACACAGAATTGTTACTGAGGGCCACAGAAACGGTACTTAGGGCCACAGAAACGTTACTCAGGGACACAGAATTGTTACTGAGGGCCACAGAACTGTTACTTAGGGCCACAGACACGTTAGTTAGGGCCACAGAATTGTTACTGAGGGCCACAGAATTGTTACTGAGGGCCACAGAACCGTTACTTAGGGCCACAGAAACGTTACTCAGGGACACAGAATTGTTACTGAGGGCCACAGAACCGTTACTTAGGGCCACATAATTGTTACTCAGGGACAGACACAGAATTGTTACTGAGGGACACAGAACCGTTACTTAGGGCCACAGAAACGTTACTCAGGGACACAGAACCGTTACTGAGGGCCACAGAACCGTTACTTAGGGCCACATAATTGTTACTCAGGGACACAGAATTGTTACTGAGGGCCACAGAACCGTTACTTAGGGCCACAGAATTGTTACTCAGGGACACAGAATTGTTACTCAGGGACACAGAATCGTTGAATTAAAGAGTATGTCAGACAACATGCAGAGGAGTGGCAGAGGAGGCAATGTTTTAGGAGCGAGCAGACGTGGCAGCATAGGAAGGGGTCGAGGCAGCACTATTCGCAGCCAGAGGCCAGTGCTCCCGGTGTCATCCAGCGGTCGTGTCTCCACCGACAACCCTGCCGTCATTGATTGGTTGGCTCGGTCGTCTTCCTCTTCCCAGGTCACCTCTGACACCTACAGCCAACGGTCGGTGGGTACGTCAGACACAACCGTTAGTTGGCATGGCCCGGGACCAAGCCCACTGAAATCACGTGTCCTCTACCTGCCCCTGTCCTTTGGTGTTCCCTCACCAAGCGAAGTATCGCATGCTGTGGGCTCAGCCCCACTGTACAGTGAGGAAGAGCTAACAGAGGGCGGTCAGGAACGGGGGGAGACATCCGTCTTTTCAGCAGCCAGGCGAAGAAGTACTGGCGAGGAGAGTGGCTCGGTAGCCGGTCTAGAGACAGGTCTGTCTCCTGACCCAGACGCAGCCGAGGGGGCTAGTAGTGAGGCGGAGACCCTACTTGATGATGAGGAGGTTGATCGCACTTGGCAGCCTCGTCGTCATCAGGCAATTTCTTCCGCATCATCAGGAGAAGAGGGTGGCAGCTTGGCAGCGAGCGAAACAGTCGGTGGGTTGCCCAGGAGGCAGCAGGGTCGCAGCAGTGTCAGTGGAGCCAAACGGCCACGGAGTAGAGCACCAGCTCCACTGCAGCCTACCACCACGGCCAGTAGTGGTGCCGGTGTGCACGGAGGAAGCAGCAGTCAGCCAGTGAGGATTATCGGGGGCAAAGTTTCCTACTCGGCGGTGTGGCAATTTTTTGTCAAGCCCGCCCGAGGAAGTAAACGTAGCCGTATGTCGACTATGTGGCCAGAAAGTCAAGCGTGGCCAGGGGGCCCATGTTGGGACTACAGCTTTGCGGCAGCATATGCAGCGTCGCTATTTGGTGGCCTGGGAAAACCGTGATAAAGATACGGCGGTTCTGCCCGCCCCAGCCCCCGCTCCATCACCCTCTCCGTTACTTGCTCCGTCACCCAACGTCAATCACCCTCTATCAGCCAGTCAAGGCTCCAACACCTCTGCTGAGGGGAGTTGTCGCTCGTTGGCATCTTCCGCTCGTTCAGATGCTCCTTCTCCTGCTACTCCTCTTCACGGATTCCGTCAGCAGTCTTTCTTGGAATCCGTTTCCAAGAGACAACAGTTTGCGAGCACGCACCCGACGGTGCAAAAGCTGAACGTCCTCCTGTCCAAGTTGCTGGTGCTGCAGTCCCTCCCTTTCCAAGTGGTGGACTCAGCACCTTTCCGAGAAATGATGGCTTGTGCCGAGCAGCGGTGGAGAGTGCCAAGCCGGCATTTCTTCGCCAAAAAGGCAGTGCCAGCCCTGCATTCACATGTAGAAGAGATGGTGGGCCAGTCTTTGAGCATGTCGGTCTCTGCCAAAGTGCACGGCAGCGCCGACGTGTGGAGCTGTAACTACGGTCAGGGACAGTACATGTCATTTACGGCCCACTGGGGGGGTGAACGTGGTGCCGGCACAGCCGCACCAGCAACTTGGACAGGTCACGCCGCTTTTGCATCCACGTTTGCACGTCCTTGGTCCACAAAAGATGTCCGCCTCTACCACCTCTTCTTCCGCCGTGTCCTCAGCCGCCACCCCCGTGCCAAGTCCCATTACCCGACCGGCATATCACATGTGCAGGGCGCAACGTTGTCACGCTGTGCTGCACCTGGTATGCCTTGGTGAACGTAGTCACACAGGGGAGGAACTTCTCAGTGTAATGAACAGAGAAATCGACAGATGGCTGTCTCCGCGCAAACTGAAAATCGAAATCATGTTGACCGACAACGGAAAGAACATGGTGTCTGCTCTGCGTCAAGGAAGGTTGTGCCATGCGCCATGCATGGCTCACGTGTTCAATCTGGTTGTCAAGCGGTTCCTAAAATCCACCAACCCACTGCAAGACATCCTTAAAATGTCACGTAAACTTTGCATGCATTTCAGCCATTCCTACACCGCAAAGCACACCCTCCTTGAGCTGCAGCGGCAGAACGGAATTCCACAGCATCGCCTGATCTGCGACGTTGCAACAAGGTGGAATTCAACCCTACACATGTTAGACCGCCTTTACGAACAGCGAAAGGCCATCACCGATTTCCTGATGTTACAAGCGGATAAAGGTACTCCCCTGTGTAACTTTGATGTCAGCCATTGGCAGCTCATGCGTGACACCTGCCGCTTGCTCAGGCCCTTTGAGGAGGCCACGCTATTCGTGAGTCGGCAGGACTATGGGATGAACGACATCATTCCTCTGTTGCACGTCCTGGAACAAATGCTGTTAACAATGGCTGGTCAGGGTGCGCTAGACGTGGCGCACAGATCTCAACGCCACATGACCCCTGTGGGGGCAGGACAAGAAGAAGAGGAGGAGATAGAGGAGGACATTGGTGCTCAGGAATTATTGAGTGAAATGGGTGTTTTTTCCCACTCAGCGGACAGGAGTGGAGGAGCAGGAGCATGTGGTAGAGAGGAGGAGGAGGAGACAGAGGACCCAGACGCACCGTGGCAGTATGCTGTGGAGATGGAGGCAGGGAGTCCCTCACATTCCTTGGCACAAATGGCCCATAGCATGCTCGGTTGCTTGCGTAGCGACAGCCGAATAATAACCATCAGACAGAGGGATGACTTTTGGCTGTCCACCTTGTTGGACCCTCGCTACCATTCAAAAATGGTGGCCTTTTTCACACCTGCTGAGAGGGAGGCCAAAATAACCTACTATAAAAACCACCTATGTAGTCAGTTGGTCTCTGCCTTTGTGCGTCAACGTCCATCCTCAGACACTGTGGCCCTGTGCGCTCGCGTTATGCTGCCATGGCAGCAGGGGAGGGGTGGGGTGGTAGGAGCAGTGGTAGCTCCACCAGCAGCGGCTGCCTCAGTCTGCAGTCGATGATGAGTAGCTTCTTCACCAGCGCAGTGAGGAAACTACTAACCAGCCGCAGCAGCATCAGGTGGACCTGGAGCAGGACCTCAAACAACAGGCTTGGGCCTACTTGGACAGCACCCTGCCAACCGAGGTAGACAATCCCCTTGACTACTGGGCAACAAAACTTGACCTTTGGCCCCAACTAGCTGAATTTGCCCTTGAAAGGCTGTCATGCCCGGCCAGTAGCGTGGCATCGGAGCGCGTGTTTAGTGCGGCAGGAGGTATTGTAACTCCGCGGAGGACACGACTGTCCACCCAAAGTGTGGAGAGACTCACGTTTGTGAAAATGAATCAGGCGTGGATTAGTCTGGATTTCAAACCACCAGTTCCTGGCACAACTGACTAAATCCGCCATGAATCATGCCCCAAACATGTGCCACTTTCAGGTCTCCTCACACTGCTGGTGTGTTGAATTTTTTGACATAGGGTGCTGGCAGATTACGGGCCTCCCATAGCTGCTGCCAGGCCCCTAATCTGCCATGGGCCCCTATACCGCCTCCTCATGCTGCTGCCAAGTCCAGAGTCTGTCATGGGTCCCTGTACGGCCTCCCATTGCTGCTGTCTCCATCGCCACACTCTGCCATGTGCCACTTTCAGGTCTCCTCACACTGCTGGTGTGTTGAATTTTTTGACATAGGGTGCTGGCAGATTACGGGCTCCCATAGCTGCTGCCAGGCCCCTAATCTGCCATGGGCCCCTATATACCGCCTCCTCATGCTGCTGCCAGGTCCAGAGTCTGTCATGGGTCCCTGTACGGCCTCCCATTGCTGCTGTCTCCACCGCCACACTCTGCCATGTGCCACTTTCAGGTCTCCTCACACTGCTGGTGTATTCCATTTTTTGTCATAGGGTGCTGGCAGATTACGGGCCTCCCATAGCTGCTGCCAGGCCCCTAATCTGCCATGGGCCCCTATATACCGCCTCCTCATGCTGCTGCCAGGTCCAGAGTCTCTCATGGGTCCCTGTACGGCCTCCCATTGCTGCTGTCTCCATCGCCACACTCTGCCATGTGCCACTTTCAGGTCTCCTCACACACTGCTGGTGTGTTGAATTTTTTGACATAGGGTGCTGGCAGATTACGGGCCTCCCATAGCTGCTGCCAGGCCCCTAATCTGCCATGGGCCCCTATACCGCCTCCTCATGCTGCTGCCAAGTACAGAGTCTGTCATGGGTCCCTGTACGGCCTCCCATTGCTGCTGTCTCCATCGCCACACTCTGCCATGTGCCACTTTCAGGTCTCCTCACACACTGCTGGTGTGTTGAATTTTTTGACATTGGGTGCTGGCAGATTACGGGCCTCCCATAGCTGCTGCCAGGCCCCTAATCTGCCATCGGCCCCTATACCCGCCTCCTCATGCTGCTGCCAGGTCCAGAGTCTGTCATGGGTCCCTGTACGGCCTCCCATTGCTGCTGTCTCCATCGCCACACTCTGCCATGTGCCACTTTCAGGTCTCCTCACACTCCTGCTGGTTTCCATTTTGTCATAGGTTTGCTGGCAGATTACAGGCCTCCCATAGGTGCTGCCAGGCCCCAAATCTGCCATGGTCCCCCGTACCGCCTCGTCACGCTGCTGCTGGGTCCACAGTGTGACATGGGTCCCTGTACCGCCTCCCATTGCTCCCACTCTGCCATGTGCCACTTTGAGGTCTCCTCACACTCCTGCTGGTTTCCATTTTGTCATAGGTTGCTGTTTGGCCTCCCATTGCTGCTGCCTCCACCGCCACACTGTGGCTCCAAACACTGGTTTTGGCCCCGTGACTGGCCAAATGAGTGAAGTGTGTGGTGATTCTAAGATCGACGGCACTCATCTGCATGTCATACTGACTGACAGTATTATTTCTCTTCCCCAGCAGACTCCAAGGGCATTTAAATTAAAGGTACAGTGTTCTGCACTAATATAAAGGCTCTCTGAAGCCTAGAAACACCCTTTTTTAAGTTAAATTCACAGCGAATATATTCGACTCGAATCAAATATTTTCCACGAATTCGCCGAATCAGTCGAATCGAATTTTTGAATACTTCGCTCATCTCTAGCAATAAACATTGGAAGGATTGATCGATCTTCCCGGATAAAACGGTCAATGGATGCAGATTGTGTGTAACGGTCCATAGAATTCCGGAGGGAAAGCTGAAATAGAAAGTGGAGCCAACGGACAGTTCTGGGCGATTCATTCAGATAAAACTTTTTTCTACTTGGGAGTTTGATGAGATCTGTTCCCTCAGTTGGGAGGATCATTGTTCGGTATATATTGATATATAGACTTTTCATTGATCTCTTCTCTACAACTAAATCAACAAACTAAAAAACTCCATTTTGTCGGGTTTTGTATTATGAAGGATTGGAGGGAAAATAAAACATTTCATATTAATATTCGTAATGCTTCTATAATGATTTTTAGCTGATCGCAGAGCCTGGAATGAATGGAAGGGTTGATCGATGTTCCCAGATAAAACGGTAAATGGATGCGGTCGGTTCTCCGTATCGGATTTGGCGGTAAGAGGGCGGATTGTCTGTGACGTCACATAGAATTCCAGCGGGAGATTGGAATGTAATTAGACAGTTGAAGCAATGACAGTTATACTTTTCTTTCAGATAACAATATGTTTCTATTCTTTTTGGGAAGAAATCTCATTATCAACAATCTTCATTATCCACTTTCTAATGATCATTTAACCAGAATCTCACACTGAAAGCCTTTCTATTGTTTTTTTACCTTTTAGAATTGTCATTATTAACACGTGACAGCTTCCCGTCATCACGTGTTCTTCCTCCTAAACCGTCACTCCTTCCTCTCCATCCATCTCCTAGAAGTAGAAAGTGGAGCCAACGGACAGTTCTGGGCGATTCCTTCAGATAATAAAACATTTGTTTCTTCTCGGAGTTTGATGAGATCTCTTCCCTCAGTCGGGAGGATCGTTGTTCGGTATATATTGAACGATCTCTGATCTTCAGGAGAAACTCCTCAAGTGAAAGGTGGAGATCAGTCCCCGGACTCCGATGTCCATTTCCTGGAATCTCACACTGAAATAATTTGTATTAATTGTATGAACCTTCATAATTGTCAAGACAGACTTCATGAAGATTTTGGGAGTTTGGTTTGGTGCCGAGGGCGCAGCCCTGAAGTCTTGGGAGGAGAGACTGGCCAAGATGCGCCAAAAGTTTGGACTCTGGAGCCTCAGAGACCTCACCATCGAAGGGAAGACACTGGTACTCCGCAGCGAGATTCTCCCTGTGTTGCAGTACCTCGCCCAGGCCTGGCCCCCTCGGGTCAACACCTGCAAGGCCATCACCAGGGCGGTGTTTCACTTCATCTGGGGCTCCAAGATGGACAGAGTGAAGCGGGCAGTCATGTTCAAGGAACCCCTCAAGGGCGGTAAGGGCGTGCCCGACATCGCCACCCAGCTGAGGGTGTTCTTTGCTTGCAACTGCATCCGCAGAACTTTGCCAAGACGGATTATGGACTCTGGCGGGAACTAAATGTCTCGCTTCTTCCTGTTGCCTCTCTGGAGGTCCCTGGGGTGGGACACTTGGGATAGTTCCATCCCCTACAACTGGGACACTCCTTGGTACTACGTGGACACCTTCAAGTTCATCAGGGAGCAAGGGCTGCAGGGAGTCAAGCCTGACTTGTGGAAGCCAAAGACTATCTACAAGCTCATCCGAGCCAGCGACATTTTGGAGTCGGTTCCAGGCCTGCCTTCAGACACCTGTAAGGTGGTCTGGAGGAATGTTTCTTCCAACATCCTCACCAACAGGCACAAAGACCTGGCATGGATGGCTATCCAGGGGGGACTGCCTCTCAGGACATTTATGCATGCCAGGAACCTGAGCAGATACAGACACTGCCCCTTCTGCATCATCCACGAGGAAACGTCTTACCATGTTTTCTGGGAGTGCTCATTTGCTCAGGCCCTGTTGGGGGCCCTGGAACCTGAACTCAAGGACTTTGTGCCACAGACAGACATCACTCACTTCAGGGTGTTGAATGGACTGTTCTGTGGAACCTTTTCTCTGGAGGACATTGACGGCGCCTGGCGGGTGCTGTGCTGTTTTAAGGACGCTTTATGGTGCGCCAGAAAGCGCCTCATCCACCAGCGGGAGAGGATGTCCATTTAGGACTGCCGCAGACTGATCCTCAGTCTGCTCAGAGACTATTCCTTGATGGACTTTAAGGAGGAAGAGGACGTCTGAAGATTTCCCCTTCCCCCTACTCCCCCTTGCGTGTCTTTGTCTTTCAATAAAGCTTCGGGCCTGTGTTTTCCCCTTTTCCCCCCTTCCCCCCACACACCCCATGTCTATTGTAAACTGTGATTTTCGGTTTTTTCGCTTTCGTTTATTGCATGACTTAGTACTGTGTATCAGGATGCTATGGTTTTTGGGGTAAGCGGCGTCATGCATGACGTGGCGATCTGGGGATTCATCCTCAGCACATCACGTCAGGCATCATACCGCTGAGCGAATGTATTTATTTCTGAATGTATTTATTGTATGCTTGAACTGTATTGCTATGTGGTGCGCTGCGTCGCAGTACAGGGTGAGATGTACCCCGATTACATGTATCATGTTGTTTTTGATGCTTCTGTAATAAAAGTATATTTTCAATCAAAAAAATTGTCATCGCAATGAAATGTAACGTTTATAATGTCCTCTACATATATGGAGGGATGGAGGATTGTCAAATCACGTGATGTCAGGACATTAGACTTGAGGGGGTCATCCCTCCCCAGGACTTGGTGTCCTATCACCTCCCCGGGAGATGGAGAGGAGTGTAGGATTCGTGTCCATAGAAGCCGTATGTCCGCCCTTTGTATGGAGATGTGGGGGGCTCTGAGAAGAGCCGTTGTGTTGGCGGATAGAAGGGAATCCTGTGGGGGGATTACTTGCTCTTGGCGGCCTTGTGGCTCTCGGTCTTCTTGGGCAGCAGCACGGCCTGGATGTTGGGCAGGACTCCTCCCTGGGCGATGGTGACGCCGCCCAGCAGCTTGTTGAGCTCCTCGTCGTTGCGGACAGCCAGCTGGAGGTGTCGGGGGATGATGCGGGTCTTCTTGTTGTCTCGGGCGGCGTTGCCGGCCAGCTCCAGGATCTCAGCCGTCAGATACTCCAGGACGGCGGCCAGATAGACGGGAGCTCCGGCCCCGACCCGCTCGGCATAGTTGCCCTTCCGGAGCAGACGGTGAACACGACCGACGGGGAACTGCAGACCGGCCCGGGACGATCGGGTCTTGGCCTTAGCCCGAGTCTTGCCTCCTTGTTTGCCGCGACCAGACATGATTGGATGACTGACGAATCACACACAGATAGGCCCCAGCAGCCGCTTCCTCTCCTTTATACACTCCATGCTCTGACGTCACACGCTGGGATTGGTTGCTTTTGAATTCAGCCAATAGTGGTCAGACTTGTTTCTACACCAATCAGGGCACGAGGATAGACAGCATGACGTCACTTTCCATCACATGTCGACGTCCTCCAATAGGAAGTGTGAGGCAGTACGAAGCTCCTTTGCATAGGCCGCCTATAAAAGCAGCACATGAGGGCGGCTCCAGCACACTTTCCCCGCAGCCAGCCAAGCAGTGGTGAACCCTGATCATGCCTGAACCAGCCAAGTCTGCGCCGGCGCCCAAGAAGGGCTCCAAGAAAGCCGTGACTAAGACCCAGAAGAAGGACGGCAAGAAGCGGAGGAAGACTAGGAAGGAGAGTTATGCCATCTACGTGTACAAGGTGCTCAAGCAGGTCCACCCCGACACCGGCATCTCGTCCAAGGCCCATGAGCATCATGAACTCCTTCGTCAATGACATCTTCGAGCGCATCGCCGGCGAAGCTTCCCGCCTGGCTCATTACAACAAGCGCTCCACCATCACCTCCCGGGAGATCCAGACCGCCGTCCGCCTCCTCCTGCCCGGAGAGCTGGCCAAGCACGCCGTCTCCGAGGGCACCAAGGCCGTCACCAAGTACACCAGCGCCAAGTAATCCCCCCGCCGGGGCCCCATCATCCCAACAAGGACACAAAGGCTCTTCTAAGAGCCGCCCACCATTCCAATCACTGAGCTGTCATCACATTGTATTGCCGCTAGAGGTCCCCCACACGTCACACTTACACTGGACATTCGTTCTAGGGACGGACTAACCTGCACATTGGGGGGATGGGAGGATTGGCTGCAATGCTCAACACTCCCATTAGGTGTCACTATATTACACACATAGACGGGAAGGATTTTCTTGTTTCTCTTTTCTGCTCTGCTTGATACATTGTTACACGTAGTAGAGGCGAATGTTTAACTCTTCACTGACTGATATATGTGCGGCTGTAACATGGCATCATAGGAAATTATACAGAAATCATGGAAACATTACTCCATATATTACTAGGAATAGATTTACTGATTTCATATAGTACGAGATGTGGAAAGCATTACATTTCAACGGTTTTACTAAAACTGTTCTATATCTAAAGATTACAAAGTACAAACGCCAAGCAAAAAATTAATGTATTTCTGATAATGTGGTTATTATGGATCCGCATGGGGATTATGGGAGGAATATAAAGGTTACACATCACATACACATTACATTTCACCTTTTTTAAATACATATATGGGTAACATTGCTTTTATATCTGGGATTATGGGGGGATATCATGGTAAACATGCCTAGGAACACATTTGACCTTTTTCATAATGAGAATACTATTTTTTTTTTTCAACATGGGTATCATGGATGAATGATTGCAGATACACCCTTCAAGGACCATATTTGAATTTTTCTCCTAAGAATATGGGTATAGTTATTTTTCTATGTTAGGATTATGGGTGTAACACATTTAG